TACTATTAATGGCAAAACTAAGGTAGTGATCCCTTTTTGCTACCAGTAACTTGTAACTAAGTACAATTTGTTAGATGCTATTGGAAATGATATAGACCAGGGGTTAGCAACCTACAGCACATGTGCCAAATGTGGCATGCCAAGCAATTTCCAATGGCACTCAGCTGCAAATGACATCACAAAGTCAAACTAATAACTACAACACAAAATAGTATTTAGCTGTTTCAATTTTAATATATACTAAAGTATATATGTTATATATTACTATATAAAACATATTGTGGAACAGGTATATTGACCTTGACTTGTATAAAAATATGCTTGCTGTTGGCACACTGAATGATTTTAAAAGCCTAAGTTGGCACATAGCAAAAGGTTGCCAACCCCTGGTATAGACATTGCCATTAACTATGATCTGATACTAAAATTGTCAGAAAGAACCCAGCACAGTATTCTCGTGACTTACTATAAAGTTACAGGCTGAGTTAATGGACAGTGATACCACCGAGTGAAAGTGTTTCTCTAATCTCCAAAAAAAAAAAAAAAAGAGAATTTGTTCAACATAAAAAGTTTGCCTTATGGCTAAAATAGGTGTCAATTGCCCACTTCCTCCTGTCTGAAATGTCAAAGTTTGAGCCCATGTAAAAACTTGGATTTAAGGTGTTGTTGTTTTCAAGAGTGGCAAACTCTCACCATTTTACATTGTGCCATACTAAGCAGAATAGCTATCAATAAACTAGAAAATAATTTTTTGGAGGGCCAAAAAAAAAAAAAAAAAAAATGAACAACATTCTAAGAAAAATCTAAAAACAAGAATATATTTCTTTATATTTTTTTTTAATGAAAAAAAATATTTTGAAGAATTCTGGAAGTAAAATAAGCCACCCAACCACTTAACAAGCTTTTAATTATTATCATCAGGTTTTATTGAGCATTAAAAATAAAATGGAGTCCAGTAACATTTTCTCTTGGCTGCTTTATGATGGAGGCACACAATATTGAATAAAACAGAACATTGGACAAGCAACTATTAGGAGCTTCACACAATACATTAATTTAGACATGTGCATTAACCAACAGTCCAGAGAATGCAAATGAGGAAATTTTAATATATATATATATATATATATATATATATATATATATATATATATATATATATATATATATATGTGTGTGTGTGCTACTTGACAATTGTAAACAAAAAGTGTACTTAGGGACAAAAAGGACTAAAAACATCTTCATATATATTCACCTTTATACTGTCCCTTTATAATTATGTATAGTACATGTGTCTAAACATACCTAGAAGTTAATGTCATTGTTGTGCTTTATTATAGTAGAGGAATAGCATAAGCAGTACCAATAGTCATCTGAAAGTAATGTAACAGAAAAGAAAAGTCAACAGCTTCAAGCCATATTAACAGCAGCAGGAGCAACAAGATGGTTGGGATGTGGTAGAATGATGTTTGGATATATTGAGTTGGGCATAGATAGTAGTTATGGCTGCCATTCTGCTCTTCATTGCTGGAACAGTCTGACAATATCAAACCCAAAAGTTTGTGGCTTGTGGTTTTATGATTCACATTTATGCGGAAATGAATGCCTTTAAATAAAAGAAAAGAAAGTCACATAGCTTTGATCTCTCACAATCATTAATTCAAAGAGAGAACCAAAGATGAGAAGAAAATTTATGAAGCAATTAATAGACCAAAGCTGCCTGGAACCAGGTTTGTATATACATGTACTATTTATTCCTTTAAAAGCAGAGGAGACAATGACCAATCTGGTTTGAAAAACACTTTCATATACAAAATCTTGTCATCACACACTTAATTGTAATAAATTAAAAAATTTATAGCAACATTATTTCTTGTGCAGTTGTACAAATTTCTATTGGCATTTAAATTCTGAACAGAGATATATAGACAAATGAGTAGCTGGCCATTATTTATATATATATATACACACACACACAGAGTTTATTGACACCAGACAATCATGCTGCAAGTAGTGATTTGAACTGAGACTATTGCTATTTGTTAGGATTAATATTCTTAGTCAATTTAATTTAGACATTGACCACTTTGGATTATTGAGTCCAGTAGGTGCTTGCCTTTTGGCCTGTCTTTTCTTTTCATGCTCTCTTTTTTTTCTTTTTCTTTTTTGTTAGTTTCTTTGTTTATTAGATTTCAGTTGTATTTTTTTATTTTATTTTGTCTTTTTAAGTATTCCCATTTGGCAGGCTTTTTTGCATTTGCAAGTTGTACCAATATTTTCTGTGTGTGTATATATATATATATATATATATATCAAATTGCCAGCTACTTATTTCTAAGCACGTCTAACTGACAGGCTACATAGACCATGTTGCAGATACCTGCTCAGACAGTTTGTGTTTGTTCAGAGCCCACCTGTGGTTTATCCTGCAACTATGCTGATTAGACCGTAGCTACATTTTCTAAAAAAGAGCGCATAATCTGGCATAATCAAGAGTTTGAAAAGTCAGTACATAATAACCTGTGATTTTGCATGAGCAAAACAGGCAATTGCTTCTGGACAGTTCTGTCTATCTAATTTCACTCACAAGGCTTGGATTAACCTGTGTATGGTTTTCAGACACTATTCCAATGGTACCTTTCACTGGGATCACCTCCCCAGGCTAATAACATCAAGATCACCTCCCTGATAATGATGAGATTTGAATCCAGGCCTCATGATCAGAAAGTAACCACTCAGCCAAAAACTGACGGGGATGGTGTAAGAGAGCAGAAATATTTACTATTATATCCAAAGTTCTCTCTCTCTCTCTCTCAGATCAAGCACTATTATTATTTTTTATTACCTGTGCGCCTTTTGTGCAAATATTAAATTTAAAATGTGTGTACGTATTTAGCCATATATGAAACTGATATTTATCAATGCAATATCAAATATATGACAATTTTAAAAAAAAAAGACAAAAATTTTTTTAAAATATTTTCAGATTGAATATGTCTGGACACTTCTTGACATATCCTGTAAATTAAAATCCATCAAAAATGCAAGCATTTCCATTAAAAAAAGACAATGTGCATATATATCTCCCTCCAGCTATGGGTAAAATAGCAGGACAGACTAGGTTCTATAGCCTTGGATGGCAACTGGTCTAGGAGAAGGACAACTCTGAATTCAAAACCTGCAGAGGGTCGTTTGGGAACCTTGTGGCATTCGATGCACCAGGTCTCTGTATTCATCCCTTCAAAAAGTGTGGATGGTCCTGCACGAGGCCTTCACCACTATAATCAAATCTCATGTGCCGGTGTCGGGCTGTCGGTTTCCTGGAAACTGATTTGCTTGACCCTCATATGTCGAATCTTGACGGGAGAGTCGATTATATATATATATATATATATATATATATATATATATATACATATACATACATATATATATATATATATATATATATATACACACACACACACACACAAAAAAAGTGTCTGGAAGTACAAGGCTATTTTGAATATCTCAAGAACAGGTTGTGCAGCTTTGATGTAACTTGGCAACCAATCAGAGAGAGCATGAACAGATACTCTCCCAGAGTTATTCAGTAAACAAATAGATGCCACTAGTATGAGTGTTGCATTCGCAGTAAATATGAAAAGATTTTCTTGAAACTTGGACCTTTGTCTGCAGAAAATATTCAAATGATTTAGGAAGCTTTTAGGGATGGTAAAATGAGCAAATATCCCAGATAAAAATTTTGATACTTGTTCTTCAAACTTGAACAAGAAATTGTCAAAAACCACCAACAGTCTGAAATGTTTTCAAAGAGGCAGAACATATGGATTGTATTCAAATGAATTCAGCAATAGCCAGTGTGAGAATTAAAAGGAAACATCCAACCATTTTGAATATCATAACTGCCCATTTTTCAGGTAATGCTGGATTGGATTCTTTTGTTCTATTTTTATTTTATTTTATTTTTTTTTTTTTTTCACAAAATCACATCATCCAGGTCTATGGGTAAAGTAATTTGAAGTGGGTCAAGGTGATATTGCCCTATGCAGGAAGCTGGATTTGTGAATGCATGTATGTGAGCGAGTGTGTGGAGTGGTAGTTGTGGTTGTAATATCAAATAAGTAGAACATTTCCAGACTGAACCTGTATGTATCTCTTATTCAAATTAGAAAACTGATATTTGTGTCCTTGGAAAAGGCATGAATCCCCTTCTCCCTGCGCTCCATCCTTTAGCCACATATCTTCATATATTCAGCACTCCCACCCCATGATGTCTGTGTATGCAGAATTCAATACATGTTACCATAAAGATGACAGCAAAAGGCAAAGTGAAGACCAATTTTAAAGTATATAGTTTTAGGCTATCCCTTTATTTTACATCAGATTTTTATATATATATATATATATATATATATATATATATATATATATATATGTATGTATATCTTCAAGCTGACTCTTAATAACAATGTCTTAGTTTAGGTTTATACTTACATTAGCAAGATAAGTTCACTTCTTGCTCCTAAAATAAAACACTACCACTTCGATCAGGCTATTAAATTAAGCAGTTTAGAATGGGATGATTCAACCCATTATACAATTTCTGTGTGTACACACACACACACACACACACACACACACAATTTACAAAAGCTGTCAGAAATTTTGTTGGTAGTGTTCTCTTTTCTCTATCTTTCCTCCTTTTTATCTCTTCTCTTACTTCTCTGGAGCATAACAAATTACCTGAAACACAAACATCTCAATGCAATACACAATTACCTTTCCAGTAATAATCTAGCAATCTCTTACCCATCTATAGTTTACCAATGTGTGTGTGTATAGGGCAGAAGAATGAAGGAGGGAAATTGGGTAGAAACTGATCTCAATCCAGAATAAATAATGCTATGAAATTCCAAAAGAAATTCCAGTTTATGAGGGGGGGGGGCACTGAGGCAAACAAATACTGCTTCATTCACCAAATGTTATACAACAGGACCTTAACATGACAAACCAATGTTAACAGGGAAAAGAAAAGAAATATTGTCCGAATCAATGGAAAATGCAAATAACCGAGGTTTGAGGAAAGAAATGATCTGAATGTAAGTCAAATTGATAAAAGATCATCAATCCAACAAGCAACAAAACCATCTGTCTTTGTCAATTTAAGAAACAAGCATGTATCAATGACTGCATGTTTTACTTTTCACTCTAAGCAAGGCAATAAAGCCACTAAGATACAAGGAGTTACTGAATATGAAAGAATATGAGAAAAAAAATAATTAAGGAGAAAGAACAATAAAAAAAACAAGAATTAAGATGACAGAAGATAACGATTGACATTGCATTTAAATTTTTCAAGATCAAAGTTGACTGGAAAGCAAGAAACTGAAAGAGTTCCACAAGCAAGACGTGCAAGAGAAAAAAACTGTTACCATAAAACTTACGGTTGCATCTAGGCAGTTCAAATGTAAAATGATGAAACCTTGCCTCCAATCTAATACTGCGCTTAAATTCATAAAGTCTAGGTGCCATAAACGAAAACTCATTAGAACAATTACTGTGAAAATATTTATAGAAAAGGTACAGAGAACCAGTGGGAAAGTGACTGAAGACAAGTTGCCAGGTCAGAACCAATAACATTGCAGATTCTTCTTTGGATTTTATCAAGAATCTCAATACATAGCAGAAGCACCAGATCAAATGTGGATGAATGATGCACTTACCATATTAAGAGACAATAAGATTTATATATAAATGTGTAAAATAAAATAAACAAGGTAACTTTACTAACTATTGCAGTTGCACTTAGCTTTATTTTAAAGTTGAGAAATTGGTTTTGAGAGATTGGTAGGGATTCATAAAGTAGACTGTCCATGTCATGCAACCCCAACTCCAGTATGGGAATTAGAACTAATGAGCCAAGTTCAAATTCCGGTTTAGTTTGTTGTGTTCACTTTCACATGACAACCTTGGGAATGGCATGAATCCATCACTTCTCTCTCCAGCTATAGGTTAATTAGCAGGATAGATTGGGCAGATGGTTTAAGAGAAGAACAATTCTGTCTTCAAAGTCTTGGAAAAGGTAATGAAAAAACTGCTCCACTATCATTCCCAAGAAGTCATGGTAATTCAGAGATAATAAAAGTTACTATGAATAGAATATGTATTCTTTGTTTGTAAATCAGGTTTCATTGACGTATTTTTGTGAAGAGGATTTTTGTCAAGAGTCAAATGTATTGCTGGTAAATTTTTTTTTTTTTTTTTTCAAAAATGTATTGCTGGTATTTTCACTATAAAAATCTATTTTTATACTATCACAGTGTTTTCACCCCAGCTTGGAGGAAGGGGTTTGGTAACTATTTGCCCATAGCTAGGACCCTAACAGGTGCTACCACCCAAAGTCAGGGTGGACCTGGGAACAACAGAAATTAAGAAGTAGTTCCACACTCCTCAAACACCCACCTCATCAAAGGCCTTGCTGCCAGATGTAGTTTATCAGCATACCTAAGGCAAGATTTTAGGTAGAAATGCTGCATATAAGAAAATAGGGATAAAAAAATAAAAAGGAAAATAAAATAAGATAAAATTAAGAATGATGAAAGGGCAGTGGTATTCCAGGTGCGGGGTTGACATCAAATTATATGTATTTTGTTACAGAGCTTCGGAATCTGTCAGTGCTTTAATAACTATTAAGTTTTAATTTGTATAAGCCGTGGTAACTTCTATTAACTAAAAATGGGTAAGTTAATTTATTTTTGTCACAAAAGATTTTTTCCAGCAATTATTTTAAGACTCTTTAATAGATTCATGAAATAAAGATATTGGCGGAGTTTAAGGCTATTTTCAATTTATTTTTCTTCATCGTTTAAATACTGAGAGCTACAAATTCTAAGTGCTCTTAAACAGAAATCCATGACAACAAAATAAAACCCAGAATAATATTAAATATTAAAAAGCTACATTTAAAATAAGGCAAATATGCCAGTATTTTTAGCCAATAGTAAATTAGATGAGATGGTTAAACTAATTAACTTCTAGATTAGAAAGAAGAAAAAAAAGTTTCCACCAACATTGTCAGCCATCACAGTTAGCATGTATTAAAAATTTATGACAACAGTTTTCATGTCATGCATAAAGAAAGATAAGATTGCAGATAACATTATTTGTATTCTATTGTCAAATACTCTTCAATATAATATGAAACTTTTGAATAGGTCTTTTCACTGTTTAGATTTTAAATTTGAGATCTATCCAGGACCCATTAACACAAAGTAGTGAGTTCTTATTCCTCTACACTATATTTGACTTGGCTGTATAGAAGAGACAGGACAAAAGGCATGAAAACAGTAAGAAGAGCTTGATAGTTTACAAGTACATTAGCAACAAGATATCCTGATTTTGTGGATTAACCAGTATTAATCCATTTGAGAAGTGTTTACCTTAGTGTAGGATTATCATATAATTTACAGATAGAAAAGGTTTTAAACAGAATCCAAGGCATTTTATAAGAATTTGTCTAAAATTTGATATATTTCCTGAAAAGACAATGTCCAGGCAGCAAAACTTCTATATCTGTCTATATTTCTGAAATAAGGTATCGTAATTATTTAGACTATTTATACTGTTTCAACTGTTGACCTCATCTTCATTGCTATATGGCCCACTGGATAAAAGTGTTGGTTAAATCCAGTAACTTGACCCAAAGAGTTGTGAGTTCAATACCCGGCTACAACTGAGGTGAACAAAACTTGAAGAGTTGAGTTAAAAGGGAGATAACCGATACTGAAACATCCAAAAGAGACATGGCATGTGGAACTAGAACAATCTACTCTGATGGATGAAATAAAGAGTTCAGTTCAAAATTTCCAATCACCTGAAGAAGTCTGGAGTGCACAGCAGCTGAAACGTTATGAATATGGCAACGAAGATGAGGACAACAATCTGAACCATGTAAATAGTGTAAATAACAAAACAATCTGATTCTCAGGCAATCTTCAATTTTGAACAGTAGATTATTTCAATTTTATGCCAGTAGTTGAGCATACAAGTGCTACAATAAAAAAAAGCCCATTTTTCAAGCTGATAACTGCAATATATATATATATATATATATATATATATATATATATATATATATATATATGTAACAAGATTGTAACAAAGAAAAAAAATGATTTACCAAAACACAGAGCTAAATCACAAACAAATATTTAATTTACTAAAACACAACATAAAATATATACAAGATATACAATTGTGGCTTACAAAAACAGAAAACAGAGTTTAAGGACGAAGAGTTACGAGGGAGAAGGAAAGGGAGTCAAGTCTTATTACCACTTTAGGACTAGCAAAGTAATCTAAGTGCTAATAACTGGAAATCCATAAATGTGAGAATATATTGAATAATTGGTCGTTTGGTCAATGAAAATAGTCAAAACTCTATTTACCAGATTTTGTTCCATGTAGTTCTCTTTTGGGGTTTTTGTTGGTCGACAACTTTTCATAGAGATTCTTTCGGCTGGATATAATAATCCTTGAATTAAAAAGCCGGAGTTGATACTGGCAGAAATTTCCTTTCACCAACTGACAACCCTTTTCCAAAAACCTATTTTATAGGGACTAGCACCTAATTAGCATATTTCTAGATTTTTTTTCAAATATACTGGAATGATCTAGAATCTTCCAAATATTCTATTTCTAATTTCTCTATTTTACAACTACTTCATGAATGAAAACTTTTTTGTATCAACAAATAGGACTCAGTAGAATCCCTTACTATAGAAATGCATCCTTGTTATAATATATATGGAAAACATTTTTTTTTTATGCAACATGTTTTGTTCTTTAGGATATCATCTGACTAAATTTTCCACTTTGTCATTGATTTTTCTAACATTGTTCTGGTATAGAAAAAAATTATATTTTTTCTCCCCATATATGAGATATATTCAAAAAGTATCTGACTAATGTAGTATGGGCAAAAATTTTTGGGTGGGAGGTAATACCAACTTTCCTGTATGTTTTATGTATAAAAATTTTCACACTAGTAGGACAGGTCAGCTCTTGGGTGTTACGCCTTAAGCAAAGATATTGCAACAAGCTTTCCTGGTCAAGAACAAATCATAAAAATATGCACTCTCCAGCAGCAGAGAGCATATATATTTCTATAATTTTTTTTTTTTTTTTTTATTTAGGCCGGTAGACATAAATGAATACATTAATAAATAAACAGAGTGACTACTCAAATATGAATACATGTTTTAATTGCCAGTTACCGTGATCATTTCACTGATATACCACAAATCAGTATCCAAGGATCCATATAACACTTTTTTTTCTTTTTTTTTTAAACTGTCCTCATTCATTTTTCAGCACTTAAGCAATCATTCATAAATACCAAAAGATGCTAAGGAACCTCCATCATTTGAGATGCAATTAATCTCGAAATAACACACAAAAAAAAAAAAAAAAAACTATCTAGTTGCTCAAGTGAAATCAGATTATTGCTTAAATAGATTTAAAGCAATTTCCATAATGTAAGCATTTTCCTAATAAAAGTTGAACTAAATTTCATTTACATTTCAATCTAGTACTTACCCTTGCATCCAATAGTAAGTTATCTGGTTTGATATCTCTGTGAATAAATCCCAGCCGATGTATTGAATCTATTGCTAATGCTGCTTCTGAAACATAGAACTGAGTCTGCTCTTCTGTCAACGTGTCCTTTTTCATCAGGAGGGTCATCATGTCACCTGAAAGACAATTAAAAGCAAAATAACAAAAACAAAATGATATATAAAAAAAAAAATCATTGTGTAGCCCTGCAGTTTAAAACAAAAATTTTATTAAGAAACTTTGGTTGAGACACACGCCCAAATCATTGGGGGGAGGGGGGGATTTGGCTCACTACATAAAAAACCTATCAGCATCAATGTACCTCTGTTCCAGAATAGTTTCTTTTCTTTTAGTTATATACTGTTACATACTTTTCTTATCTCTGAATACTTTAATTTCTGGGAGGTTTGGATTTTTGTGTCACATTATCCAGGAATTAAATTTCTGTAACTACTTGATCATGACAATTCACAGATCACACCTTAGGCTGTCTTTCTGAGGATCATATATTGTCTTACAGTCAATAGTTAGTCCTTCCTTCTTGCTTGCTTTCCATTAATTTGTTTAAGAGTTCTTGAAGTTTTCCTTCCAAGCCTGTCATCTGCATATATTGTGTTGTTAAGATTATGCTTGCTAATAATATATCCTGGTAGGTTTTCTACCTTTCGATTTTTGGCAATAATTATCAAAGTATTTGTTTATATCGCCTATCAATGATCTCATGTTGCTTCATCTAAAACAGACAGTAGTAATTTTTTTTTTTTTTTAATTATGAGGTGTCTTAAAGTGAACTATTCAAAAACAAGTAAAAATTGACATTTTGAAAACTGCACCTGCTATGTTCACATATTTTAGTATCAAATATCATGGGTGGAAATTTAAGAATATGTAAGACAAAACTCAAAATGACAAACGATACTCAAAATTCACATAAAAATTAAGCATATGAATAAAGTAAAACTTTGATGTGAAAATTAGTTGCCAAACAGCATTAAATGTAATACTAACACCATTTTAAATGCCAGAAAAAAATGCTTAAATTTAAATTAATATTTTTCAAAACTAATAGTTCCAGATTAGTGAATTTAATTTTCAATGATTTTGCCTTTTTTGTTTTATTTACAAATGTAACTCTTATAAGAAATCTTATTCAACAAGTTTAATAATTATTACAAGACAGATGTAATATTGCTGAAATGAAGCCTATGAGAAAATTAAATAATCATTGTTAGTGATAGATAGGGAATGCTTTGAAACATTTGGGGTGGGTGTTACGGCCATATCACACTGAAACAATGATTCTCATACAATCGCTGAGAACTAAGTAACACTGAGCCTGGTCAGAACTTAGATGGGTGACCACTTGGTATGTGTAGGAGATATAATGAATAATTGCTCAAAATTGAAAATTGGAGAGCCGAGTTTCAATTCCAATTGGGTTCGTTATATTCAATTATGTACAAATACACTTGGGAAAGGTACAAACCCACTTCTTCTCCACCCCAGCTATAGGCAAATTAATTTGATTTGTATCAGTAAATCATTATCACCAAAAATAATTCTTACAATCTAAAAATATTTTCTGGCTTTAAATAAACTGCATAATCAGCTAAACAACATAAACACCCTCAGTAACAATACAAGTCAGCTGACGTCTTGTTAAATTGAAAACAGCTGTTGTAAAAATGGATTTGGAACATTTAATTTCATCCGATAGTTGTTAGTAAGTGAAGTCAACTTCAAAATACAGAGCAAGAGGCTCAGGCTGAGAGAAAGTTATGGAATAAAGATGAATTACATTTTTAGATGACGATGACAAGAGAAAGAAAATTGTTACCTATAAAACTGACTATCCTGTGAAAAGGCACAGGGAAATGAAGTAGGTCTTAGAGAGCAACCCTCGCCCCCACAAAAAAAAAACTGCCATTAGAAACCCCCACCCACCTACCAATGCTTACCAACTTCACTTGCTTAGAGTAGTAGGTTACAACCAAAGAATAAAATCTGGTTTACTGCTAGAAATTGTTCCGTTTTTCACTTGTGTGTGATATTCTGGCTGAAGAGTAATTTTTTAGCCACAAAAGTTTGACTAGAAGTTGCACCCTATCAATGAACTTGGTGCCTGGTCTGAGCTGCAACAAATAACTCTTATAATCCCAAAAATGTTTTGGCTTTAAATAACTCACAAAGAGTTGATAAGATGTATATAAAAAAAAAAGAAAAAAGTCAATCATTGTTAGCGTAAGGATTGGAAAGTAAGTGAATATAAATCTTAATACCTCCTGGTAAGAACTCCATGATCAGATAGAGGTTCAGTGCATCCTGGAAAGAATAGTACATCTTCACAACCCATTGATGATCTGCTTCCACCAGGATATCACGCTCTGCCCGGACATGTGCAACCTGTAAGAAAACAAGAAAAACTTTAAATAAAAATACTTTCATTGTTAAACAAATAAACTTCTAAAAGCTGTCTCGTGATTAAACTGATTTTATTTGCAAGAAAACACTAAATCAACGTATTATCTTACATATTTATGTCTATCATTCATCCTTGCTTTGAATACTCTGCCGTATCTGGTCTGGTGCTCCTTCTACACATTTAGAGATTCTTGATAAAATTCAAGGAAGAATCTGCAATGTTATTGGTCCTGATCTGACATCTTGCTTTTACGATGGTAATGTAGCATCTCTGTGCCTTTTCTATGAATACTTTTATGGTAATTGTTCTGATGAACTTTCCTCTATGCTGCCTAGACTTTATAAATTTAAGTGCAGTATTAGATTGGCAGCAAAGTATCATCATTTTCAGCAAAACATTCTTTATCAGAAGACGTTAACACCTCAGATTGAGTGAAGAGAAGAGGGATAGAAGATTTACTCTTATTTCACACACTATTAGTGAGCCCCGCTAGTAGTCACATGAACCAAATTTATAAAAGGCTATACAGTGCCTCATTCTATTGGCAAACAAAAACTTAGAAGACATGTTTACAATTATTTTGAGCAGTCACAAATAGGCATCTGTTGTGATTAGAATTATCACGCTGGACCCAGAAAAAGTGATTACTATGGACTATTAGTGGCTGAATAGGCTGGTGTGAATCAAGAAAATGATTGCGGTTTCACCTGATACTTGCAAGAAGGTACAAAAGCATCAATGCCAGTTTTAACATAACATATAACAAAGAAACAATTACCTTTAATTTATGCATGAAAAAAATGAACAGACAAAAATAAATTAATAAATAACCTTCAATGTCTACTGTCTCTATGTCAAACATTAAGATCTATTGTAGAAGGCTTAAAATATGATAGCATGCTTCATTGCTTAACCATGCACATTCTTTATCATATTGTTCTTTGTAGACATTAAAAATATCCCAAAAACCTGCACAAAACTAAAGTGCTTCTTCAAAATTAAAGTCATGCTCTTCTGCAATCATTGTAGCGCTGCCAAGTAAAAATCTTATGCAACATTATTTTTTCTATCCTCAAAAGTTTTTCCCACATTAATGTTCCAAAATGAATGCCACCTATTATATTGGCCTGTATCAGAGGTGGATGTTGCTAATAACATTTTTCCTTTTTTTGCTATGTTACAGATTGCAAAATGGCAAAATTACATCTGGCATGAATAGGCATTTTCTTTTTAATCATTTCAACCAAGCAAGGCAATAAAGCCAACATGATGCAAGGAAAGAAAGACATTATTAAGGAGAGAGAATAATAAATGAACAGGAATTAAGACAAAAGATAATGATTGACATTACATTTAAATTTTTGAAGATCAAGGTTAACTGGAAAGCAAGAAATCAGAAGAGAGTTTCATAAGCAGGAAGTGCAAGAGAAGAAACTGCAAGCATAGAACTTATGGCTACATCTAGCCATTTCAACTGTAAATGATGAGACCTATCTGTCAATCTAGTACTGCACTTAAATTCATAAAGTCAAGGTACCAAAAATACAAAGAGGTGAACTGAATTCAGAAAAAAATGCATCCACTGACATTTATAGATGCTCGCTGGACATTTATAGAGACCAAAGAGTGGATGTGAGAACAGCTAGGCTGTCAGTAACAGGTTTCAGCAGTAACAACAGAGATGTGTGTAATGAAACATATCCCACAGTGCAGCGTTATTGCATTCCTGCTAAATCTTGTAGCTTCCATAGAGATAAATAGGAGGCAATACTTTTGGAGTGTGTGTGTGTGTGTGTGTGTGTAATATGGATGTGATATCAAGGTAAATAGTAAACACCCCCACCCCTGATAAAATTATAATTATTAAATATAAAATGCTAATTTCTTAGTCATCATAGCTTAATACATTAAGTTCAATGATTAATTTAAAAAAATTGCTCTTTTTATCATAAAACAGGCATAATTCTCCTTCAACATTAGCATACAGTAACACATGTCAATATGTAGTTGACATGGACATTGCAACAAGACATTTTTAATAATGGACAATAAAATCAGTAGATATTCTACCTTTTCTCAGACACCTTGCATTGAAGAAGACAATGAGAAGTGTGCACATGTTTTGAATAAAAAAAAATAAAATAAAAAATAATCCTTAATTTTTTTTTTTTTTTTCTTGCATACAAACTTGAAAATTTTGTCTTCGGTGAAGTTTTACTACTCACCAATATCAGAGTATCACCTAAATGACTTTCCAAAATATTTTTGTATCAAGATAAAGTGTTTTTTTTGACAATTTTACAAAGGTCAACAGATGTCTAGCCTTAGAGATTACTCACAACAACTCCCTTATTTATAAGATGAAAAAAAAAAAAAGAAACTGAAATCTGAGGCACTAACAGAAGAATTTGAAAAATGCAATCAAACAAACAATTAGTCAGTTACTTGATAAGGACTTTGTTATTATTTTGTAATAAGATTTGAAAAAGTTTTGAAAACTAAATTTAAAAATCCTCTCAATAATATTTTGCAAACATTTTATCAATGTGAGAACCACTTTCCAAAAATTCAACAACATTGTTTTCCCCTGTCAAAATGGATCCCATCCATTTTCAAATTTATTCTCTCTTAAGCATTGAAGAGGACCAAGTAAATAAGGGAGGTGGTGCTAAGGCATGAACAAAAACTTCAGTACCTGCTCTTTCTCCAACATATCAATCTTCCGGAGAATTTTCATAGCATACACATGACCCGTATCCTTTTTCTGGACAAGGCGCACCTGTAGAGAAGAAAGAAGATAAATGAAAAAAAAATGAAAAGGTATTTTGTATTTACACTATTTACATTGTTCAGACTGTTTTCCTCATCTTTATTACCATATTCACAACATTTAAGCCATTGTATGATCCGGCCTTTTTCAGCTGATAGTAGTTTGGGATTTCAAACCAAACCCTTTATTTAATTCAGAGGGGGTAGATTGTTCTAATTCCACATGCCATGCCTTAATTGGATATCTCAGTTTCAGTTAATTCCCCTTACTCTACAATTTTTTGTTCCCTCTGCTGTGGTCAAGTTTTGAACTCACAACACTTTGGGTCAAATCACTTTTGGATCACTCAACCAATGCCTTTATGCAAGGATACATGGCCCAGTGGATAAAAATGTTGGTTGAGTGATCCAAAACTGACTTGACCAAAAGAGTTGTGAGTTCAATAACTAGCCACAGCAGAAGGAACAAGAAATTAGAGTGTAAGAGGAATTAACTGAAACTGAGATATCTAATTAAGGCATGGCATGCGGAATTAGAACACTCTACCCTTGTGAACTAAATAATGGGTTTGGTTTGAAATTCCAACATATATCATCTGAAGAAGGTTGGAGCATACAACGGCTGAAATGTCATGAATATGGCAATAAAGATGAGAACAACAGTCCGAACAATGTAAATAATTACAATACCTTATCTCAGAAATATAGACAGATGTTGGAGGTGTTTTTTGTTTTCAGATTTATTAATAGTGGAGAATGGGTCTTAAATGTTATGTCATTTATAGATAGAATTCTAAACTGTGTAGTTGAAGTGATAGAAAACTTATGCATTTAACTACCAAGAGTTAAACATTGTCCTATAAATCATTTTCACCAATTCCTTCAAAAGAACTAATATTTTTCTTTAAATCACTGAAAAGCAAGATTCTGTCTGTGTTTCATCTAAAACTAATGTAACCTTATGGTCACATCATGTTGAAACACCAGTTCCCATACAATCACCAAAGTTAAGCAACATTGAACCTTGTCAGTAACTAGATAAGTGATTGGTTTGGTTTGGTTAATGCCAGAATTTAATTTTCTTGAGAACTTCAGTAATTTTGTTTTCAAAAATGTATTGTTGGTATTCTTGCTATAAAAATGTATTTTTATACTTTCCTAATGTTTTGATACCAGGTTCTGTAGGCTTGGATATGCAAGTGGTGTAATAGATAATGGCTCAGAATTGTTAATCAGAGAACCAGGTTCCAATTCCAGCTGGATTCATTATATTCAATTATGTGCAAATACTCTTGAGAAAGGAATGAATCCACTGCTTCCACCCACCAGCTATGGGTTAGTTAGTAAAACTTGTATCAGTAAATCATTACCTCCAAAACAAAACAACAACAAAAATACAATCTAAGAATATTTTCTGGCTTTAAATAAACTGCAAAGGGTTGATAAGTCATAAAAAATGAATCAATCAAAAAGTTAATGTAATAAAAACAAATACATTCAAAGATTCTAAGTCTTTACAAATATTGAAAGCATTTTGCCGTGTTTGAAGATTTGACACTCCCAGTCCAATAAAGACATGAACTAAGACTTAAAAATCATAATTATATATTAAATAACTTAACCACAAAAGACCAACTAGAAAAATCCTCATTAAATGCCTTCTTATACAAGCCGTTGTAGTAGGATTTATTAAACTGAGGTCAAATCTTTAATTTGACCCTTAAACCAGCCCAAACCTGCCCTAAATATCAACTCTCAATGTTCAATCTGCCCCATGTATACTCTGCCATAATATACAATGACATCATCGCAAATAATGCAGGAAGTCATGCAAACAGTAAGATTTTGACTACAAACAATGAGACTTTAAAAGCCGATATTTATGGGGGCAGGTTTGAATGCGTGTTGAATGCTAAAGCACTAATTAAAATCTTCTGTTGATTTCATCTCTGACTTCAGTTTAAAATTCAACCTTTAGAAGAGACTCACATGATTATAGTAGTGTTCCCTTTCACATGAATCCTTCTTTTCTATCTATAGCTGTAAGTAAATAAGCAGGATAACTTTACTTTTTAGCCTTGGCTGGCAACCAGTCTAAGATCAATTCCAAACCAGTAAGTTTAGTTCACTTCTAGGTAATCAGAAACACATGGGGGAACATACAGAGCCAAACATGACATGAAATGTCCTGATCATCCACTGTATCCTCGTCCATCACTCGACATCTTAATGATATGCCTCTGGATGCAGACTGATATGGATAAGAATGAGGCTGATAGTGTGCAAAAACTCTACTTCATTATAATACAAATCAAATTCAAGTTATGATTTCGGATAAAGTCAGGTTGGCCAATATCCAAAATTTATAAATATTAGCTGACTGAACATGTATTTTTTTTTTGTTTTTGTAAATTAATTATTTTTTTTCATTTGATTGGTTTGGTTTGGTTTGGTTTATTTTATTTTATGGCATATCAACCACAATGGATTTAATGCCAACAATTTCTATTGCTGGTAACATTTTCCTTCAAAAATGTATTGCTGGTAATATTTTTTTTTTCCTTCAAAAATGTATCACTAGTAAATTCTTCTTTTTTTTTTTTTTTTTCCCAAAAAATGCTGGTAATATTTTTTCCTCAAAAAGTTCATTACTGTTATTAAAACCTATTTTACACTTTCATAGTGTTTTGACCCGAATTTGGGGCTTAACTATTTACCCACAGCTGGGACCTTAACAGGTGCTACCACCCAGGGTCAGGGTGGACCTGGAAACACCAGCAATTAAGAGGTGGTTCCACACTCCACAAAACCTCCTGATCAGAGGCCTTGCTGTTGGACATAGTTTATCGTCTTACCCAGGACGTGGATGTAGGTTATTGCCATACCCAGGTTGGTTTTTCACTTGAAGCCAATAAATTGGTCAGCATATTATTTGTTAGTTAATGCATTATGATGTATGATTTTGTTGCTGAGAAAAGAAAAAAAAAAAGAGAATCGGCAGAATTTAAAGGGAGAGAGAGAGTATTTCAAAAACTCAGAGAAATATTCTCTTGGTCCCGGATAAGAAATCTATTTGCTAATCTTCATTGTTTCTTATTGTGATAAAAATATACTGTTGAAAGATATTTTTAAACTTATTATTGTTGTTGTTAAGGAAAGTAAAAGGGGTCATGGGAAACAAGTAGTTTTCTTTTTAAAAAAAAAAAATTTTTTTTTTTTTTTTCTTTTTCAAGAAAGGTCAACTTTCAGAGCAAACAAGAAAAAGAAACAAGATTTATTCACCTCACCAAATGCACCTCGGCCAATCACCTTTAAGGATTCAAAGTCATCAACACCTAAGCGAGATCGTTTTAAGCGGAGGAATTCTGTCTCTTTCACAGCATGCTGTTGCCGCCTCTCACTTTTCTGTAAAGAGAAAAATAAAAAAAACTTTAACATTGTGGCAAGAAAAAAAATGCATTAGAAGAAATTATATGAAAATAAAAAAGAAATAAAAAGTTCACAAACTTTTGCAAGTGTCATGCAAGCCATAACAAATAGCACAGTTTTCTGAAGCCGACTTCAGTGATATGATCACAACTGAGAAAAATGGTCAGAGATGAAAATACATGTTAAAACTGCAACATAACCATTCAGAAATAAAACAAATACAGTATAACCTGGATGTAAGAGAAACCCGGATATAAGAAAGATTTTCTCTGGTCCCAAATTAGAGCCCATACTTACCTAAACAAAATAGACAAAACCCGGATATAAGAGAAACCCGGATATAAGAGACTTCTTCTCCATTCCTGACAACTCTCTTATATCTGGGTTACACTGTACAAGCTAGATCATCCACAATTTACACCCAGGTTGCTTACAGCATTTCACCTTTCTTGTCACATCTGTTATCACAACGAGGGATATTTAATGACACAAATAATGAAAACAAAGAAAAAGAAACTAAATGAAACTGACTAGGCTATATATCCAAAACATTAAAAAAAATAATTAAATTAAAAATTATCAGCGTCTGCTCTCCTTCACATGCAGGTATAGTAGGATCAAAGAAAACATCACTTTAGTCCAATGAAGACCTATTTCAAACATTATTATAGTGGATACTCATATTTGAAATAGATGTGCCATTTGTTTTTATTTTTACTTTAAACAGTGTGTATTATATCTATCAGCATGTATATTCAAGAAATCTTAAAGAAAATGAGCCGTCCAGCAGGAATCAAACCTATATCCCCCTTTGTAGGAGAAACAATTTTACCCAGTATGGTTTACCAGTCAGCTATGAAGAGTGCCATAGTTCAGCAAAGCTTTATTTTCCCTTTTAAGGAAAGCACACCTTTGTCACTAAGATATTTTTTTCCTCTAATGTTCATATCTGCTCAGTTCCATATCCAAAATATAAAGCAATTTTTAAAGAATTAATGGATTTATCTTTAATCTGACCTTTTTATTGCATCAAACATTATGGTGGATACTCTGTATTTGAAATCAAAATCCCATTTGTCTTATTTTCAATTTAAAAAAAGTATATCTAGTCGGAAGCTGAAACCACCATCATTTGATCCATGGTGTGTGTGTGTATATATATATATATATATATATATATATATATATATATATATATATATATAATTATTCATATATATATATTATATCGTGGTACTTATTATTAAGCGCTCAATATCAGAGATAGAGCTAACATATTTGGTTGGATAGATGTGAGTTTGTGACCCTGGATTTCACGCTTTAGCGATCGTCAGACAAACTGATTAATTTTTTTTAAATTTTAGGTTTATGTAGATTGCGTGTATTGGTGTTATTATGGAAGTGGTGGGGGAAACGTCGTTGTGTCATCATACTAACGCAAACATTGATGTATGTTCATACACCTAATGGAGTACGCAGACACATATACATAGTTGGTCGTCCGTTGGGGCTCATACATATATAAACATATGTGGGCAGTTTCGGATATGATATATGTATGTATATGGATGGTGTTGTGTCTATACATACGCATTTGTATGTTGAAATTCAAAGATTGGAAGTGTAGCGAAAATTTCTCGTGAATGTCTCGTGAATGTATACATGTCATATTTTTATTTTTCCACTGAATAATATTTCCTCGCATGTATGTATATACGTGTGGTGGGGTTTGTGTAAAATTATGATAGGTAAAAATTATTATTATTTATATTTATTTTTAAATTTTTGAAAAAAAAGGGGGTTTATTTGTTATATTTAAAGCTGGTTATTTGTTTGTTTTTGATGACTGTGTATATGTAAGAGGTAGAAATTTTGGTTTGTAATCCTTATTGGTTATTTTATATGGTGATATTTAATATATTTAATATATATATATATACACACACACAGTTTTGTTGAAAAATTGGTTATAAAATGTCCAATTCATCCATTTTTTTTTAAGCTCCTTTTCTACATTCATTTCAAAATAAAACAACTCATTAAAGGGAACTTTATTAAAGCAAAAATTATTTTCACTTGCAATAGTTTTGATCTTGGCTCAAGAGTCCATGTGGCAGTTTTATCTTGGGAATTCACATCAACTTCAGTGAAAAATTTTAATTGTGTGGAAGGTGGAAGAGATGGAGCGATAAAAATAATAGGGGAAGACAAGGAAGCAAATATAGGAGTGAGAGACCAAAAGGATAAAGCTACATACAGTTTCATGCAATATAAATCCATTTATTCAACCAATCATTTCCCCCCTCCCCCAGAAAATTACCAATTATAAAATCATATTTAGGCAGCATATCTTCACACAAACATGTTTTATTGAATAATATAGACATATTGTGTCTACTTATTTTTATACTGATCCTTTCTACTTGCCTAATCAGTTTCTTGATATTAAGATAAAATTTATCAAGGAAGGCACTGTAGATTTTTAACCCAAATACATTTGATCTTTTCCATGATCATCTTCAGGGGGTAAATTACAAAGGCAAAATTATCGTAAATGTGATAAAATGTACATTCTGTTGTGATGAGAACTTAAAACACACAAACATGCTCTGTTATAGTTATTTGAGAATTTTAAAATTATCGTTATAGTTATGAAATCTTTTACAAAACAAGCATTTCAATATAAAGGAGATAGTAATTGGTAGAAATGTAAAATAGCATTAAATGTTATATGCACTTTAACATGTTGTTGCTATATTTGCAATAAATTTTGTTGAGTGTGTATATATATATATATATATATATATATATACACACACACACAATTCAATCAAAGGGTAATTGTTTTTTACTGTTGCACAAAGACACAAGACAAATGGAAAAGGAAGTGAAAAGAAAAAAAATAACTGTCATGAATAATAAAACGTCTTCAAAGAAAGCACAAATAGCATTGTCTGTATTTGTTAACTCCCCCCCCAATCTCTGAAACAACCTGAAAATCTAATCAGTAGTCAAAATATATGAAAGGGATCAAATCTAAAGCTTCATTAGGTTTATGTACAGAACTATTTATTGTAAATGCAATTTTTTTTTTTTTTAGATGAATCAAAGTATACATAACTTAAAATTTTTTACTGGAAAAAAAAAAAAAAAAAAGAAGTTATTTCTAAGCCATCAAGAGAAAGATTATATAAATATCTTGTCAAATTGCTTGATAAGGCAACGGTACTAATTACAAAGTGTGAAAAAGTGAATCTGATAGAACCTTTGCAGAAAAAGAGAGGAAAAAATTCAAAATAGGGAGATATCTTGAGGCCAGAGCCATCATTATTCCATAAATATTTTTACAGGAAGTGAAATATTTACTTTAGAAGAGATCCAATGATAACAGATTGACCCATCTCAGTTGTCGGTTTTTGAAGCTTATTAACAAAAACCGAGTGACTGATTATGGCCACTGTCACATACAATAACATTTAAGGAAAACAAAATGAAAAATTAATTATCCTCTGCATTGCAGATATAAAGGCCTTTTCTTCAAGATGCATTGTATCAATTCAGAAGCAAATGTATTTATATCATGTAAATATCTAACATGTAGGAAATGTGCGTATTTGCTAAAAACCAATCGGATAATACTGCAAAAAGAAAACTATATATATTTTTTTTAAAATGTTTGTCATATACCAGCAGCAGCCACTGTGAGTTGACTGTAGAAAAAAAGTATTTTCCAAATTCTCCCATGACAACTGAGACTTATTCTCAAACAAGCATACCTCCATTCCATCTATCTTTTGTTTGGTCTTTACTTACTGTGTTTGCACCTGTTGGGGACTAATCAAACAACCTTTTGCTCCACCTATAATTTATTTTACTTCTTATGAAATAATTTTATATTTCAGTAGCATGTCATCAACTTGGACATTGTGTGCGTGTGTGTGTATTAGCAGCAGCCACTGCTAATTGAATGCAGGAAAATACCCTTACCCAAATCTTTAAATAACATCTGCAGGGGTGCTCTTTTCTGCCATGTCTTATCAGCAAACTGCTCTATTTCATCTCTTACGTGATCTTTTTCTACAGCACTCACTGTCCATTCGATACAAGCAACCTCTTACTCCACCTGTTATCTTTTTTTCTTGCTACAAGTCCTGCCCACCTCCATTTTTGACTATTGATCCCTTCTATCATACCTCTTACCTCGGCAAGTTCTCTGATCCAGTTGATGTCGTTGTCATCAATAGATTTACTCTTTCCAGTGATGTATTTCTGAGTTTGAACTAAAATGATCTTGTTTATTTTCCTAGTTTAACACCTTCACATCATAGCTGACAGTGTACATTTATTACACACCATTTTATTACTTTTTTTAATGTTTTCATCCCGTAAATATACACACACACACACATATATATATATATATATATATATCTCAGCAACAAAGTAATTTCTAAAGAATTAATGGATTTATCTTTAATCTGACCTTTTTATTGCATCAAACATTATAGTGGATACTCTGTATTTGAAATCAAAATCCCATTTGTCTTATTTTCAATTTTAAAAAAAGTTTATTACATCTATAGACTCATGTATTCAAAAAATCTTAAGAAAATGTGCTCTCTAGCCTACTATTTTAAAATTGTTATAGATTTCTTTGCATTGTGTGTATAGATTTTATTTTTTGTATACTAATAAAAGAATGGATGACTAATATTTTGATATAATGCATTACATTTTGCATGCATGTTTTGACATTGAAATACAAAATTAACACATTAACAATTTAACATACTTTAAATTTTATTATTTCTTGTGGAGTTCTAGGGTGCAATAAGAAGCAAAATGGCTAAGAAGGCCTTCATTTCATCAAAAGTGACATCCTTCCATGTGTTTATACATGAGTAGATATCAGCATATGTTCCTCTCCTTTCCTTCACCTGACTAGTATATTTATTTGTCTCATTGACAAATAAAGTTATTTCATCGTTTATAAATAGACAAAATAATTC